CTACATTTATACATTCTAGTAATTAAGCTTGGATGATTTCAGTTTACTTTCATTTTAAGCAATTGGGGGCTTTTGCCAAATGTTTGCATATGCATGCCATCTAAGAGACCATGTGTAATAGAAGCAATGATAAGTTATCAAGAAACAGGAGAGGGAGACTTTACTATAAACTGACTCCTTTTCCTTGTTCCACAATGCTTCATCTCAGCTGATGCGGCAATGGAGAGATGACATGTAACAATAAAGACACTGAGAGGTTGGGACAATTTGATTGCTACCTCCTTTGCCACAATGAAATGAATAGCGTTGCTGGGACTGGTTTTGCTTGTTAGTTGCTAACATAGTAACAATTAGTGACAAGAGGTGGGCACAGCTCATTTCCCATCCTTCTCCAATACTGCTGCTTCCAGTCTAATAAGGCAGGGTGAGACCAGGTGAATTAGGTCAAACATCTCCAGTGGATTATTTCATTGTTTGGTTTCCTTTTCCTACTATCCTTCTCTACTAAAGATATTTCTTTCTTTCAAGGAAATTACAAATCAAAGTATTAACTGTGGATGGATGGATGGATGGATGGATGGATGGATGGATGGATAGATAGATAGATAGATAGATAGATAGATAGATAGATAATTATAAACAAATTACCCTGTCTGCTAGTCCACCAGGAACGATAGTCCTTACCACCACACCACTTGATTTTCCTCCTACAATTCCAAAACCTAATCCTGAGCCATCATTAATCAGTTCAACTTCTTCAGTGTGGCCCCACTTGACCTAGAAAAGTAGAAAAGTCATTTTACAGTGATCTTTCAAAAAATGAAAACACTAAAAAACATTTGCCATAGAACTTATCATAGGGCTTCCAATCCATACAATAAAATAGGTACTTCTTTGTGGTTCCATCATCTGGGACATACATGAGATACAGTGGCTCATACCATTATAGTAAGCAGGATTGATAGAGAACGTGGATAACTATGCATGAAGACACCATAACATGCTTTATTACACCATACCATGAATTTCCTCTGAAGCATTTCTAATAAAAACACTAGGCCAGTTACATTGAATACCAAAATCATATCTGAAGCACTCTAAAGGACAAAAGAGGGGAGAGTATTTCATCTGCAAGCCTTTTTTTTTTTTTTTTGGTGTCTGAAATATGAAATGATGCACTGTTATCCTGTAGAAGATTCTGACAAATAACTATGAAAACTGCACTGGAATAATTATCTGGACCTATACAGAACAACGCACTGAACTGAAATGTGAGGAAAATGAGGAAAATACATCTTTGGGTGAATCTTTGGGTAAAAGTTTTTAGAGGTCTCAGATGAATGGGATCACCTTAATAAAACTGAAACAT